AACAGTGCTTGCAATTTTCCTATTGGCACCTCACTAGATACTGTGGGAAGCAGGGCATTGAATAGGTGCTATTTAAGTCTAGTTCCCACTGCCACTTCGGCTATTTTTGTTAAATCAAACATGCTTTCATACTTTTAATAAACTCTTGTGCTTTCTATTTCATTCTTTGATTTGAGGGACAGGGTGGATTTATATGGAACTGAAGAAGTTTAAGTCTCAATTCCTCTTTCCCATGAAACACATGTGTTTGCCTGCCCAAATGTACCTATGCTAAGCTGCATTCATACATTAACTAAGGGCCATTTAGTTTGGATCTGGCTGGGGCCATTGTACAAAGCATTCCATTGATGCTTATTCAACAAACTGTAGTTAAAGACATGATGGCTTCATGCCATATTGAAGCCAAGAACAATACTGCTGGGAAGTGATTTTAATCTTTTGAGTTCCTTAGCCAGATAGAGAGGAGGGTGATGAAACAAATAATCAGGGGAAGAGGCAAAACAATTAAATTCTAATGATGAAAAATAATTGGCTATTTTCTTCTACATCATTACTCAAAGCTACTCTGCTGAGAATGTTCTTATTTCAAAGAATCTTCAGATGTAAATCACCTTAAATGATTCAGTTTGCCCTTCTTCTGCAGTGGAGGGTCATTCTTTTGCTCCACCTCCTTTTCAGAGGTTTTCTAGTTAAGAGGTGAAATGAAGCAAAGCAGGTCCCACCTTCACTCTTCTTGGTGTGCCTTACTTGGTAGACAATGTTTTACTAAACTCTGTGTGTCCAGTTACTTGAGGTTGCTTTAGCAATTTTTTTTTTTTTTTTTTTTTTTGCATGTGCAGGCACCTATCTCATCCTGAATCATACTTCAAAGAGAACCTGGCGAGCAGACTTAGCTGCAAGGACAGCTGGCCTGGCTCCTCTGTATGCATTTGGAGTGCTGAAAAACCTCTCACACATACCCCCACCCCATGTTCAAAAGGTTTTGTTTTCTTTGTTACCAGTTATCATGTGATGCAAACACTGCCTGCAGCAGTTGATTGACTAAGCTGGTGCTGTCACACCGAAAACAAAGAAGGGGCTTTGCAGTGATAGGGAACTGGCTCATATAGCACAAAAGGCTGGCAACGGCATATATAAACAAACAAAGGCACCCCCCTAGCCCACCCCCTTTCATTAACTAGATTCAAGCAGAGAAAGATTTTAAAATATTTCTGGGTTGAGATGGAAATGGTGAGCTAATTTTAATTCTTGAGGTCCTTTATTCTCCATTCCCATCTTTATTGGACTCAGTACAAGAACTCAGAAAACCTTTCCACTTGGTCTTCAGGAGGGGTTAGAGTGACATTAGATTGATGCAAAGGAGAAGATGTTTGGGAGAAGCTTTGCATTTAAAAAGGGATCAAGAAAAACAAAGAACTCTCAGAAAAGCTCTATGATGCTCTGGGAATTCCTTAGAAATTTGGAATTATTCTTCATTGGATTTTTGGTTAAACATTAATCTTTTGGGGAACACATTGAAGTTTTCAATAACAAGTCAAAGTTTTAAAAAAGGGAATGAAAAGTCTAGCACAGCTATAATAATCTGCATATTAAAGATGAGATATGCCACAGGTTCCTTTGTCTTGTCTTGGAAATGAATTCTCTCTTTCCTTCTATGATATTTAATCCGATGAGATAAACTTAATCAAGCACGTTAGGATTTACTAGCCAGTTTTAAATCATGGTTTAAAGCTATCTTGGCTAGACATATTTTGAAAAACAGGTTTCTTGTAGATGAACTGTTAACACAAATTATAAGTAAAGCAATCCACAGAAGAGTGGGGGAATGACTTATCGACAAAGTATAGAATGAAAAGTTTGGCATTGCCTACTGAAGCACAACACCATAAAATTAGTTGTTACTCAAGAATTTTCAGCTGACATATCACTCATACTTAGGAAATGCCATAGTTGGGCTCACCTATTTACATAGGTGAATACAAATCAGAAGCACACAATCTGTGGTTGCTCAAACTTTTGCTGAAACTCTCATAACTCTTCCATAAAACTCCTGTTGAATTCTTATGTTAATGTGGTTTGGGGAATAAACATTTTAACTATATTTAATGATTAAATATATCTTTATTTTTTGTTATGGCCCTACAATACAAATTGTAAAATCTCAGTGTCCTTCAGGTTCAAAAATTGTATAACTCTGATAAGTATATAGTGCTCCAAGCAAAAATATGGTAGAAGAGAATCTTATTGATATTTTTGTTAAAAAAATCTCCTTCCCTCCCTCCCTCCCTTTCTTCCTTATCCTGCTGTTCTCCTTAAAATACTGAATATTCCTTAATTTTACTCCTCTAAAAATTTGTGAAATTGGCTAATTTGACTGATAATCAGAGTTTTTCATGACTGAATATGAATTTGAAACTGGATGTCTCTGATTTAGTCTAATACCCTAATCACTAAATCACATTGGGTCTCAGATTTCTTCTTTTCCAGAGCGTCTCACCTTTATATCAGTATACTCACACTTTGGAACTGAGCTCTGAACTATTCAACAGATACACTTATGGAATGTAGTCCATATCTATTATTTTTTTACATTTACATTCCAAAAAGTTGATAGACATGGAGCAAGCAGAAGGAAGCCAAAGCTAGGAATGTCTTGTTTCTTTGTACTACTATTTGGGCCTCAGATAACTGAGACATTTAGAATAAGACCGCTAAGCTGATATTTACATAAACTATAACTTCATATTCATAACTCCTGGTTTCTATAGAGATAGACATCGCCAGCTGCCTTTTAATTCTGGTTAACGAAAGTACCATTTTCTCTTTGCTGTTGGATGATACGGTAGCAGCTGGCATTAAAATAAATGGGACCCAAGTGTATAACATCTGGAGGGATTAAGTTGGCTACCATAAGCAATTGGCTCTGAAATGTGAATATTCCAAAATTTGAACTCAGTTTGAACTCTTGGTGGATCAAAGCATCTTATTTTGTAAGTTACTATAAGAAATGCTTTTACAGACCCTGAGGAAATAAAGCAGTGTAGTTAAAAGAGAGAAAGGTTTCCACCATCTCAAGCGCCCCATAAATGCCAAGCAAGAAGAAACAATTCAAACACTTATTCTACATCTTTATGAGGCATTTGGTTATACATCTTCAGTTAGAATTTTACCAAAGTTGCAGTGTTATGTATTTTATTGGGAGTAGATAGGTCTCTTTGAAAGAAATCTCCTTCTGTTTTGTCTGAAAGGAAAAAATGGAAGTTACTTGTGTCATTGCCAAATCTGTGTCAAATATAAAAATAAAGAATTGGATATTTTAAATCTTGGTACCTACTACTTCATGCTATTATGTTTGTTTATTTTCAGCATGTTTCTTGTCTTGAATAATTTCAATAATGCCCTTGACTAATAGAAACTTTTCTGTTATAATTATTTCCTTCCTCAATTTTATATAGATAAGGTATCCATAGCCACATAAATAATGATGAAATTGGTAGCATACAATTAAGAGCATATTATAGATCAGGGCTTTTCAACCTTTTCACCCATTGTACCACTTTTAGGATATGGCAACATCCAAGTATCACCAGTCGCCTAGCAAGGTGTCAAAAATTTGATGACCCCCCCCCAAAAGGAAAAAAGTGATAAAGTACAGGTAGTCCTTGACTTACAACAGTTCGCTTAGTGACTGTTCGAAGTTACAATGGCACTGAAAAAGTGCCCCCCCAAGCCACAGCTGAGCAAGACAGTGCCCGGCGGCACTCTTCCTCCTGTCCAAGGTTTTCATTGTTGTGAGCATTTATTTTGAAGATTGGCAGTGGGGGTGGGGTGGGGGGTGTTTGGTTTTTATTCCCCCCGTCTGCTGGGTGGTTGCAGCAGGTTTTAGTCACTTCACATGACCCTGGGACACTGACCGTCATAAATATGAATCAGTTGCCAAGCATCTGAATGTAAATCACAAGACCCTGGAGATGCTGCAACATTCCAGCTGATCGGCGCTTCTTCTGGGCTCAGCAAAAGTGCCAGGATCAGTGCTGCTTTCCAGCTGATTCAGGGCTCAGCACTGAGTTCCAGCTGGAGCCTGGCAGTGCTGATCCTGGCGCTTCCACTGAGCCCTGACAGCCCCGAAGCGTCGATCAGCTGGAAAGCGGCACTGATCCTGGCGCTTCCACTGAGCCCTGACAGCCCCAAAGAAGCGCTGATCCTGGCGCTTCCACCGAGCTCTGACAGCCCCAAAGAAGCGCTGATCCTGGCGCTTCCATTGAGCCCTGACAGCCCTGCATCTCCAGCCATCTCCCGCTTAAGCTTGTGCAGTGCTGCCACCGGTTCAGCTCATTCCCCTCCCCGCTACCACTTTTCTAGGATGGTCGCGTACCACCTGCCAGGTGCCAATGTACCAACCCATACCACTGGTTGAAAAGCCCTCTCTAGGATGCTGTAACCATTGCAAATATATGCTGCTTGCCAAGCACCTGAATTTTGACCATGACAATGGGGATGCTGAGATGCTTGTGTGTAGATCAGTTGTAAGTCACTTTTCAGTGCTGTTATAATGTTGAACAATCGCTAAACGAATGTTAGTAAGTCAAGGACTTCCTGTATTCCTCAAGAGCCCCAAAATAAACCAGTGCAATTTTGGTGCTTCACAAATGTAATGTACAACTTAGTAGCAGATTGCATTCTGTTAGTAATCACAAACATGGCCCACGTATTTAGGTTTCATACACCTACTGAGAAAAAAGCAAGTGTCTCCTGGGCTCTGGTGAGATGGGCAGTGTAGAAATTTAATAAATAAAAAAATGTTAAAACCCTTTCCATTGCAGATTTCTATTAGAATGAAATTTATTCAAAGTTTAATAATTTGTGTGCAACCTATTCCTTAAAAGCTAATATATCTAGATTATAACCAGTGTCAGAGTAGTAGCACATATGGATATCAGCTTGAATGTTTCTCTAGGACACTAACCTAGGGATCTTCTGAATATATTTACAGCCAGACCTTTCAACAAAACTGCAGTTTAATTTCAGAAAGTGTTAAAATATATTGTACATCAACTTCTGACATACTACGTTAGTATATACAAATGGTCTCTTGAAACTGTATTTATGAAATGTACATTTTAATTTAAATACTCAGTATACACTGCACTTAATCTGCATGTTGCATTTATTAAATACATTAAAATCTGCAATGTAACAAAACGTTTTCTGCATACGAAATTCAAAACACCATTTTAAATGAACAAAAGATGGCTCACTTCATTTTTTTAAACTAGTGCATAACACACCAGCTCAGCTCCACCACACTAGCTGTTCTTTCTTTTTTTAATTTGACATTGTTCACAGACTATTACATATCACAATAAGAGTGCTGGATAAAACATGAGGTACGAAAGTGGTTCAAAGGTTATAGGTCATGCAGATCATGCTAGACAGCAAAGAAAATGTGAATGAGAACACTAAATAAAAATACATAAAGAATGTGCATTATAAAATAAAAACTCAATTACACAGCTTTGCTTCTTTGGTTACAAAGTAGGTTGAACAATTTCACAGCTTTTTATTCCCTCCCACCCCCCAAAAAAATCATACGAAATGTCAAAAAGCAGAGGAATCATGGCAATTTCTCTATTAGAAAGTAGAAACAGAAATGAGCAAAGTTTTCTTCATCAAAATAGCCCATCAATTATTATATCACAATGACTGGCGACTACCTGTACAGATGCACTATGGTCTTCATACTTACACTATACAAAAATTTACATTCAAGCTGGATCTTAACTACTGAAAATAAATACCAAAAGGTAAATTGCCATTAGTGTTAGAAATAGGCCAGGATTCTTTTGTTCAATTATTGCCTAAAACATTTTTCTATTAAACTCAATCCTGTCTATCAAGTTTTACTGATACTTACATTTATTTTTTAAAAAATTAAAAGTTCTGTGACATTGTTCATGTACATTATGAATAGCAGCCCTGTAATAAATAAAACAAATAAATGAAACTAATGTAGGCAAATGTTACTTGTCATTGAAAGAACAGTGGCTCTAAAGATGGGTTGTTACTGTGTGAAAATCCAAGGCTCAAAGTAATCCATGAGTAACGGAAACCTTGAAGAGCCTTACTAAAGCTCTTAAAGACCTCCACTCATGTGCATCAAACAAATGCAGATTTTTGCATTATAACTCCTTCTACATTTTCCCTTGTGCACTGATGGCATAATTGACACCAACTGTGTTGTATGACATGTCAGTGAGGGAAAGCGCTTGCAGAATGATTGTCTAATACTGAAAAGGCCAAAACACACAACTGAAGCATGGCTACCTGCTTTCATATAAAGTGGAAAGAAGACCAGTGGCACACAAGGACAGATTGCTTTCAGTTCTTAATGAGGCAAGAAAGCTTTATGCTGAGGAGACATTCGGCTGCTGTGGAGGTTGCGTTGGCTGTGCAGGCTGTGCTATCACTGTTTGCTGTTGAGAAGTGCTACTTGGATTGGCCTGTTGGGTTGAGAGTTGTGATAACTGATCATTGTTTGAAAGAGATTTTAACAGTGCATTTTCCCGTTCAAGTAAAGAGTTTCTTTCAACTAATTCTTTTATTTGTTCCTTCAGTACTTCCACTTCTTCTCTGACTGCATACATCAAATGGCTTTTCACCAGATCCTGTAAAAGGCAAACCAATAATTAGAGAATTCCATATCAAGCTGTTATTTAACTCCAAATAGTTGAATAAAACTCCATTATGAGCTTAAATAAGAAAAATAAAAATATCAAGAAATTTTACGTACACACATACCATTATATATAACAGTATATATTTAATACTGTTAAATATATAAAGTAAAATATCTTGCTTTCGGGGGGGGGGGGGAAATAACTATTCTTAAAATCAAGCTACATATTAAACCAAATATGTTTATTTTTATTTTACTCAAAAGGAATCATGGCTCAATTGGGATAGAATCCATGGTGAGATATTATGATATCTCTGAAAACATAGCCTATGCGTTTTACTAATAGTTAACATCTCCATAGATATGAATGTGAACTCTTCACTGATTCTTAGCTACTATTATGAGTAGGGGAAATTCAAGAATGTGCTTATTTTTCTCAATGCACTGCTTTTTGATCTGAATTAAACTCCTCAGGTTTACTTTTGAAGAAATGAAAATAATAAACTAATGTTATATACGTAGCGTAAGTTGCTGGCTTTTTACAGGTAATCCACAACTTACGACAGGTCACTTACAACTGTTACAATGTAACTTTTTAAATTTCAATTAGGCCTTTATTCCACAGGAGCCTTCCTATGGAATTCTTTCAATGTGGCTATCAGTAACATGTTAAAATATTTTAATCTCAAAATATAGTTCATAGTTCAGTGGTGGTGAACTTATGGCACAGGTGCCAGAGGCGGCACTCAGAGCCCTCTCTGTGGGCACACGCACCACTGCCCCAGTCCTAGGCCTTCAGCTGGGTTTTATAAAACCCTTTCGCTTTAGCCTCTGCCGCCATGTACGAAAAAAAAAGGCTCAATCAATCAATTTCAACTTCTTGCGGGGAAAAAAAAATCTTGCAAAGTTGGAATTGATTGATTGAACTTTTTGGTCCCACCCAGTCTGTCATTACCACTGCAGCCACTTCCACCCAATGGGTCACACCCATCCAATTGGCCATACCCACCCAATGGGCCACGCCCACCCAGCACCCAACGATGCATAAGTGGGTTTTGGGTTGCAGTTTGGGCACTCGGTCTCTAAAAGGTTCACCATCACTGTACGTTCTTCTGTATTTTGAAATTTCAATTTGATTCAAGGATCTAAGTGTACCAAATCTAATACACCGACTTCCTAAATGAGTTCCTCTTGGAAGACAAGTCTGAAAATTTTGGCCATCATTCATTTGTCTGTCCATCCATCCATCTTATATTTTTATAAATATTAATCAGTAATCATAAGTATAGAAACTGTTTATTAATAACAATATATAATAATATTCTAATCTACCCAAAGTGTATTTTTTCAGTATGAAAGGTTACTTTGATTTCTACTACTTTGTAGTACAAATGAGAAAAATATACTGTACATCTTTTTTGTATTTATTTATTTATTTATTTTCTGTACAACCTGGCTATCAGAGAAGCAAAAAAATGTAGTTTTTGGAAATGTAACCTTGTTGATCTATATGTTTAAAAACTAAAAAAACTTATTTTAAATTTTTATAAATGAAAAGTAATTATTTTAGTAATTATATTTATATACAAATAAATATTCTTACTCTTGAACTAGCTATCACAGAGAATTTAGTCTTTTCAAAAGCAATGATTTAAATCACTTACTTTTTTTATATTTTATGTAAATATTATTACCAAAGAGCTGACTAACAAATTAAAGAATTTAGTCTCTGGAGATTTAACTGTTACCATGTTCTCTATATGGGGCTGCCCTTGAAGAATATTTAGAAGTTTTAGCTGGTGCAGAATGCAGCGGCCCAGACAATTAATGGCATTGGTTTTTCAGCAATATGACACTACTGGCTTGTGAGCTGCATTGGTTTCCATTGTGCTTCCAGGTGCAATTCAAGGTGTTGACCAACACTGAGCAAAGGGACTGGGCTGTTTATAGGATTGTCTCTTCCCAATTGTTCCTACTTATCTCACCGAGTCTGGCGGGAGGGAACTGCTCTAGGTGTCATCGGCTAATCAGTGAGAGCTGGAATGGTCCAGGAAGAGGTCATTTTCTGTTGTGGTGCAAGTGGATCAACCATTTGAGATTAAGTTAGTTGTAACATTGCTTGTCTTTCATAAAGCCCTAAAAACTTACAGCTGTCATGTGTTTTTATTTTATATTATATATATTATTTATTTTTATCCATTTTACTTATGTCGTATACAGTCACATATGTGAGATGAGTAGGTACATAAATAAAGAAAGAAACAATGTCTATAACAACTTGAACACTAATGAATATAATTTGTAAATTCACAAACCAAATAGTTAAATGCCTTCTATTTTCAAAAGTAATTATATTTAAATATAAATAATATCCTTATTAAAAATATGGCTAACAAATTAGGGACTTTTAAGACAGAATTTCAATAGTACAATAATATTTTAGATGAAATAACAAATAATTCTGCCACAGAATTCAAACTGTATTTGTCCAGTTAAAATATTCAGAATGTGAATATTAATTACACAGCAGCAAGTATTAGAATGGATAGTTTTATTGCTAAAAATTTTACAAAAGCTCCAAATTATTTCAGCATTGGTGCTATTTTGCTTATCACAAAATTGCTAAATGCAGATAACAATAAAACTAGTGCAAACCATACTCTGTGCTACACTATGCTATTCTTTGTAATTATTATTCTCTACCTACTAGGAATTTGGGACAAAATAGCTATTTATATTAAAATCTCCAAATAACACTCTTACAGTCAGAGACTATGAACAACACTGTAAGCAAAATAAAGTTGATCAAGAGTGAGTGACCGCCTCATAAATTTAATAAATAAATAAGTAAGTTCCTTACTTACCATTGCCTGTTCTATTTTGTTATCAATGGCTACAACACTCCCACCAGATGCACTGTTCAAAAGAAAAGCAAAGAAAAGTCACATATGAGATTTGAGATCACTGAAATGCTATTCAGCAAAAGTGATGGAAAGGCAAAGTGTTCCATTATAGTTTCACAAGTCAGCACTTTTACAGCACTTTGCATTCAATGTTCTCCTATATTTTAGTGGTCATTACAAACCTCTAAGATTGGCGAGTGTTAATTCCATATGCTCAGGAACAAGGAAGTGTGGTATCTTCAAATCATAGGCATTATATCCCAGAGAAAGTGAGACATATTTAAATCTCATCAAAATCAATGGGAACTGAGAATACTAAAGTTTTCAATAGAACTTAGACATAACTAGTTCATGCTAGTTTGGGCCCAAGATATTTATGCCAGTTTCTGGCCCTTGTGGAAACTGAGCATAGACCTCCTGAGAGTTTAAGAAAAAAAATATTGCCCACATCCTATTGGCTGTTATGAGCTCCCATATTTGAGCACATTAATATGCAACTGAAATAGTTCATAATCATAACCAAGTCAACCACTGTGTGTTTGAAAGTGACATTTTGATGCAAGTCTGCTAAATCAGTATGAAAATACTGTATGTAAAAGCACTTAGTGGAAAAAAAAATAAACCAATTCTTTTACAATAAAATGACACAAAACTGATTGTTAGGAGAGTTCCAACTCATTGTAGAATACCTACAAAAGATAGTTGGCTTGATTAGCATGATCCAACACTTTAGCCTTCGGTTCAAGATATATGTTTGGAGGTAGTTCCACATCATCATTGCTATCAGAGGTTTTACAGTATATAGAAACCAGGCTCAGTTCTAGTTAGCACTAATTATGTTTACGTCATCCTGTGCCATGCTGATCAAAATGTCATCTCCATATGGTTTAGATTCTTAGAACATTTAATAAATTTGCTATAGAAAATAATCACTGTATTTGGTATATTCTTCAGAAAAGTATTCTGCATTCACTACTACAAAGTTAGTTATTTTTCATTTCTTAATCTATTATTGGCCAAGGAATTTGGTTTACATGTAATTATTCATGATTAATCCAGCATGAAAATAAGGCAAATTTAGTGCTCTCAACTGGATATTAAAAAAGCTTCCTTCCATGCTGATTTTATTTTTAATAATTATGTGATTTTTAAATAAACAATATATAATGCAAAATCTCCCAACATTTCATGATCTTCATACTTTAATAGTTAATTACAAAAATAATCAGCACTGGTATAAATTCAAGTACTAATATTTCATTTTTATATATACACACACACATACATACATACATACATATATTACAATGTCTCCTATGACAAACTATTGGCATTATTAAAAAAAGAACAATAACCATTGTAATAATTAAAACATATCATTCTATAAATAAATTAAATTATCCTCAAAGGATTTGACTTTTTTCCTGATGTTCCTCACAGTAATATCAAAAGTTGCTTTTAGTATTTGCCAACATTTAACTTCAATTTAGCTTCAGCATAATAAACAATAATCAGTCTTATATGAAGCACTATGTGCCTTGAGAATCTTTAGCCAATTTCAAAAGTAAGAGCATTGTCAAATTGTGATTAATCAGGTGTCTGGGAGCTATTGCTAAGTTGTGAGCTGGCACATACTAAAACTTAATTCGATTTTTTCAAAAGTTTAAGGAATATCAAAGAAACACCTGACTGCCAAACAACATATCACTTTAAAGCAGAAATATGCAATTGTGCTTTGTATTTAACTCTTGCTAAAAATCTATGAAATCACTTCCAAATTTCTCAAATCCATAAGAAATATAGAGCACAGAAAGATAAATGATATAAGACTGAAATGACTAAGATATCATTAAGAACTTTCAGCACAATATGTTTAATACTTGAATAACATATTTATTTATTCTCTATGAATCAGTACAGTTACTCCGGGTGAATCTACACAAATTCTTAATATAAATGTTCAACATGAAAAGGTATAACATGTCAATTAACCTGCACTCCATTTTTCATTGTTTCTCCCTTTCTATCATGTGAAATATTTACATTTTCTCTATTTATACTGTAATTAGGAGCCACCTCAAAATTCCTTGGTGAGATAGAATAAAAATATACTATATATTCATTATTTAATAGCATATATTAAAATGAACTATATCACCTTCACTTAGAGCAAAGGATTCTTGTTGAAATGTGGACTTTTAGTAAGTTTTTCAAAACAGACATGAAAGCAAAATGTTCATTTTGTTTCTTTTAAAGTAATCAATAATAGAAACATCTTTTACATTTAAGAGGTTTTTCACTCACTCCTTTAAAAAGGAAACAATATGTTGGTAAGTATTTATGAAGCAGTCTTAATAGTCATTCTAATGTTACACTTGCACAACATCCAGTAATAAAAAATAATATTTTTATTACTAAAAAGCCATAGTTGGTGCATTTAATCAAGTTAGATTTCACAATTCTATAATACATGAAAATATTGTCTAAATGTTTTTAGGTTGTTTTGACGTTTGCATTAAAAAAATGTTATTTAGGAATATAACTGCATTTATGAGACATTAGTATTCAATATTTTAAAATGGAGCAAGTGCAGTCCTATTAAATCTTTTGGGTTCAAGTAGCATTCTGGACCACCTGCAAAAGAGTTAGGAAAAAGGGGCACTGTTTTGTGGAGGTTCCACTTTTTACTGAGTTTGGGATTCTAATCAGTTATGAAAGATAAGCAATTGAGCTCTTGAATTTTCTATTGGGATGCTACAAGATTCAGTTTTTTCTCCATGCTATTTAACATCTATATAACACTAACTAAAAGAAACTATGTTTTAGTTTGGGATAAGAGATCATCAAACTATTGATGATGCCTGGTTATACATTGCCATGACAAACAAAGCCAGAGATGCAGAGGTCATTATCTGATACCTGGGGGTTGTGAAGGATTAGATTATCAAAAATAATCTGAGATGATTGATGACACCTACAAAGCCCAGGATAGGATTATACTCCCTGTGGAAAAATGTTACATGAAGCTGTTGAAAGGTATTATGCATCAGTCTGGTGTGAAGGATCAATATGCTGAGCTACATTGGCTGCAGTAATCCTGACACAGATCCTGAAGACAATAATTGAGGGTTTGGATGGGTCAAAATAAAATCAGAGTAGATCCTTGCAACACTACACTGCAGCATGTCACTACTAAATTTGATTCTAACCCAGCTGGATAGGCTTTAGTTCTTGATAAGGTCACACCTCCTCTTAAGGAGCAAGCCTGCAATTGGTGTGTGTGTGTGTGTGTGTGTGTGTGTGTGTGTGTCTTCCTAGACTCACAGGAACTGGAACTTGGCATAGCCAAAGTCTCCTTTGATCAATGTAGGTTGATATGCCAACTATTACCCTTTATGGATCAGGAATCTTTTCCAACAGTAGTGTATATCTTAACATCCAGGTTTAACCACTGCAAGGCATTCTATTGGGGACTTTCTTTGAAGACCACTGAGAAATTAAAATTGGTTTGTAAAGCACCTGCCTTCTTCTTGGTCATGGAGAGTTGCTTTGGAAATAACACCTGTTTTGTGATGCACACTGGTTATTAATAGCATTCAAACTGCTGGTGCTTATGTATAAAGCACTTCATGGCATGACTCTCAATTACCTTTGAAATCACATCTCCCTAAGTAGAATTTGCTTGTCCTAGAGCTAAGGGGTCTGGTGCCAGAAGACACACCTTTTCTTTAAGCTGCCTGTTTATAGAGCAGCTTGCCTCTTAAGATCAGATTGATGCTTTCCCTCTTGAATTTCAGAAAGTCATTTAAAGCAATCTTATTCTGTTGGTGTTTAGGAGGCCTGGTCTGGCTTTGCAGATTTTTATACTAGTTTACATATATATTTAAAAATTGGTAGTTTGAAATGATTATTGTGTACTCCAATCTCTCTCTCTCTCTCTCTCTCTCTCTCTCTCTCTCTCTCTCTCTCTCTCTCTCTCTCTCTCCCTCCCTCCCTCCCCCTCTTTCCATTTCTCATACAAGATCATAGTATTGTTTTGAGGATATAAAGGAGGCCACTATATGTTAATCACTAGAATTTACAAAGGAAATGTGGAATTTAAATGTAGCAACACACTATATATGCAGTGTGTTGCTACAAGAGGATATATTTTACAATATATTTCTATCATATAGGAAAAGAGTAACTCAAATTCAAGACTAACTGGAACAGCAGTGGAATAACCCACACATTTGTAAAGAGTGTGACAAAAAAGTGTGCCTTTTTTCTTGAAACAATCTCACTATATTACAAGTAAATACTATTACAACTTAATGAATTGACTCATTTATTCCTAGCTCTGGCTTTCTAAACATGTGCTACAACTACTAAACTTCATTAGGACATTTTAAACCCTCCCCCCCATTTTCCCCAATTTATATGAACTTTTTGTTTCTTTGTTTCACTTTTCAACCACTGCTTAATGACGTGATACATAATCTGAAGCTGGAGAAGCAGATATTTTTTTCATCTTTTTATTTCACAAATTTACCTGTCTTCTCTCTATATATATACGTAAGACGTTTTTCAAACACCTATAGAAACAATCATGTTTCTGGACTGTTCTATGATTCTTTGAAATAACCATCTAAGTTCAATATTGGAATACTTAAGAATCAAATGGCAAAATACTACATCCAATAGCATCATTAGGTAGACAACTGAACATATTACTTCTACATAGGGATGGATGGATATATGATAGATCTGTGCAAAGATTTAAAGGCAATTTAATGTATGATTTTAAATTATTTGGATAGCATCTTTGATGTACTGAATCAGATATTTAAGATTCAAGGGCAGTTTGTAACTTTGAAGATTTTAGATTTAGTCTGAGCTCTCCATTGCAGCTTTCCTTTTATATATAGATAAAGCAGAGGTTTTATTGGCTTTTTAGCACTAATATAAGTAGTTTGCTGATGAGTTTTTGGACACCATGACTTTGGAATAGTTAATATTTTTGAGGACAGTCTA